ACAGGCCCTGGCAAATTGGCTTCCTCTCACAAGTTCATTGTCACAGATCAAGGAGCCTCCTCCTAATAGTGCCTTATTACAGCAAAAGGTATAGCCTGTGTGCTGCACTTGAGGTACAGGTTAATTACACCTACCCCTGCAGAAGGGGAAAAAACCCTTAAAAGGGGTTGTGTTCCTCTCTAGGCCAGACCATTCATCAGTTAACCACAACTGGTGAGAACTAAAAGCTTTCACTGTATTTATTTCAGTACCAACTACTCATCGGTTGCTGCCTCCATAGAAGACCAAGCTTAAAAAAAACTTAAAAGAAATAGATCTAGGTAGTGCATCACTTTCCCTACACATGAAACAGCCAACCAGCATTTGGGGATTATGTCTGCTTCGCATATTATGTGCCTTTTTCCTCTATCATTTGTTTTGCCTGCCTCACAGTCAGTTTCCCCTGAATTTAAAAACTCAGTTAAAATGGTCTATGTGCATCCTTTCTTGCTATTTTTAATATGTTTTTTCTTGTCTCAGAAATAATATGCAATAGCCTTCGAAAAAATAAACAAGCTGTGTAAGATTTGAGTAGCGGGAATTGCTCATCGATGCTCTCAGGCACACGGTGTGATTCGTGGGGATGGACCTGTTCAGGTCTGAGAGTTGGACACGGTGATCCTCGTGGGTCCCTTCTAACTCAGCATATTCTATGATCCTGTGAATTTTAGGACCCGGCCAGCCTACACACATCCTGTGCATCAGTCAATACTGCTCCCTCGCAGCCGTCGGCTGCACTTTCCCGGTGGCGCAGACCCCCTGGGCGCGCTTCTCCCGGACGTGGCGCTGCTGTATCGCACCAAGGCGACGGGCGCCCATCTGCTGCAAAGCTGCTGCAGTGAAGCGCCGCGGCACCGCCATCTCCCTACCAGCGCAAGGAGCACCAGCTGCCAATGCCGCTGGATGAAAAGCCGCTGGCTGGGCTCCGCTCCACACACAAGGGCTTCCAAGAGACTCCCGTGCATGGATGCGCACCCCACCCCACAGGTAACCAGGCAACGGCCAGCGCGGCCCAGCCCCCCGCGCCTCTTCGGAAAACGAGAATACAAAAGGCGACAGCTTTTATTCGCGGCGGTGCGGAACGGGGCGAGAGGGCGGCGGGCCGGGCGCAGAGCCGCCGGCGTTGGGCAGGGACACGGCGCGGCCGGGCGGCTGCCGTCCCCCATCTTGCTTAAGGACGGGTACCCGAAACCAAGATGGCGCCCGGGCGATGAGCGCGGGGCTGTCTCTTCCCAGCCCGGAGCGGAAGTGACGCGCGCCCGCCCCGCGCCCTATGGTGGCTCCTCTCTGTTTCCCCGCAGGCCCCGTGTCTCTTTCTCCGGCCGGACGGAAAATGGCCGCGCGGCTGCCATAGGGGAGCGGGGCCGCAGGGAGTTCCGCCCGCCAGGTGAGGGAGGCGAAGGGACGGCGGGGAGGTTCGGCGGGGCGGTGGCCCCGGGTTGGAAGAAAGATGGCGGGGGGAGCCTGAAGGGGGCCCACCTCGGCCCCGCCCTCCCCGCACCTCCTCCCGCCTCCCTTCCCCCTCCCGGGCCGCGCGGTGTCCGCGCGCCGCGCCGTCCCGCCCTCCCCTGCCGCGTGACCTCGGCGCTCCGCAGCCATTATCCCGATTATCCCGGGCCAGACACCGGGACCGGGACGGGAACGGGCAGGCGCCGTCACTGCCCTGCCGCGGGCCGCCGCTTCCCGCAGGAGCCGGGCCGAGCCGGCGTCGCTCCTCCCCGTGCCTGGACGGCGCCCCGGGAACCGAAGGTAGAAGGGGGAAGGGGCGGCGGGAAGCGGAGGCTGATCTTCCTTGTAGCTGTTCCCTGGCCCCTGGAAGCCCCGCGAGGCGGGGATGTGGGGAGGGAGAGTCCGGCGCCGCCGGGCCTCGCCCCGGGAGTGCGGCCTTTGGCTCTGGGCCTCCTATGGGAGGCGGGAAGGCCCGAGGGGATGTGGCTGTACAGCACAGATTACGGGAGTGTTAAATCTCCCCGTTATTCTCGTGGGTGTGACGCCGAGGAGGGAAACGGTGCTGGGGAGAAAGAATGCTTCCCGATATTGGATCAGCCTTTATGGTCGATGGAGGAACTTCCCTTCGGGCATGGCTGTGGTTCGGGCTCTGGTGCCTGAAACACCCCGCGCCTTCCCTGCCCTGCTTACAGATGCTCGCAAAGCCCCGTGAGGGGCAGGAGTGGGTTTCAGCCCCTTGCCGAAGGGTGCAATTGTGTTCCCAATGTTGATCACAGTGTAGTGTGCCTGTAGTTGCAGGATCTTATCCATTATATCTCCTTTGCTTTGTAACCCCCCTACTTTTCACCTTTAATTTTGTGAGAATCAGATTCTTGCTTTGTGTGTCATGGTGATCCTTTACCAAGTCACTTGTTTATCTCGGAGATCAAAGTTTTGCCTTCACTGCAGCAGTTAAATTTTACTATACAGAAGGGCCCGAGGGCATGCAAAACAAAGGTGCTCTTGACGCTGCAAGTAGTCACTGCTTGAGCAATGGCTGGCATATTGTAAATTTATAAAAACATCACTTAGAGTAGTTGTTCTCGGTGTGGGAGGGATTGATTAAAGAACGTGGGGTTCCAGGAAAATGCTGTCTAGCTGTTGTCTTTCTCCCCTTTCCTCCTCATTCTCCTCTTGATAATCACGTTGTTTTGGACAAAAGTGGGGAAAATAAGGGGATAAAGGCTCTGGCACTGGTGTGCTCCAAGCATGCAGCTTCTTATGGCAGGGAGAGTAGGAATTGCATCCTCCCACTCGTCGCTTTTGATGTTGAGTGACAAGCTGTGCCGAATGGCAGGACGAGGTTCAGTGTGTTACATCTGTTGGTAACTGCCTCTCTCCTGGCCAAGACTTTAGTGGGCCCTCCTTTGTGGAGGCCACAGGTGAAGGCTGTTGCTGAGGGAATTCTGGGGGAAGGGGGAAGTAGGGAGGATCACGTACCACGGAGAAGGACCTGTTTCCATTGGGCATGCAGAAAACTCGGAGTGGTTGTACAAATTTGGAAAAGATCAGCAGGGACTTGTTTGGATCTAGGGTGCAGGTATTTGAATGGATTATATTCAATCGGGTTGTCAAGGAGAGATAGTGATGTAGGGGTTTGAGGAATGCCAGAGAACGTTTAGGGATTGTTTGCAGAGGGGATAGGTGAAGGAAACTAATGAGGAAAGTAAGCCTTTGGGTTACAACTGTGTTCTGTTTGTCAGAGTCTCTCCCAAAGGTATTCTGAAAAAGTGCACTGGTGTTCATTGTGCTGTCACTGGCCTCCCTGAAGCCTTGTGGTAAATGGAATCTGGGAGACCTGAAAAGTCAGCTTTTGTCCAGAGTAGTTTTTTTTCTGGATCAGGTCACTGCTGCAGCTCACCAAGCTGTGGTATCAGTCTTGAAACAAATGAGGGAGGGACACTTGCCTTTTCTGCAGCAGCATGCTTGTACTTCATCACAGAGATTGTGGAAACCACTGTGTAAGGGCATATGAAAACACTGTCTTTAAAACTCACACACACAAAAAAAACACCACCAAAAAACCAGAAAGGCTATCCAAAACATGTGCCCAAAGGCATGCTAATTTCTTTTTGTGTATTGAGAAATTTCTTTTAAAAAGTCACTTTGCTTTCTGTTTTTTTTAGTTAGAGGAGAAATATGCTTTTGTTTGCCAGTAGTATTACATAAAAGAACAGCTAACAATCATATGACAGTTTTTTGCAGAGGTGATTTTGATCTTACTAGGTTGCTGCGTTTTGACTTATTTTACAAGTATTTTGTATTGTTTTCTATAAAGAAATGAATTAATTTGGGGGGAAAAAAGGCTTTAGTATGTTTTACTGTTTCCATTGTATTTCCAGCATATGAAACAGGGAGAATAACACTTCCTAGATCTTATTTGTACATTCCAAGATAGTTTGGGCAAATTTGCCATGGAATTTTAGTATTTGTAGGAATCTAAGTCCTTGATGATCTGAGTAGCACTGTCACTATGAAATGTATTCTGTTCTTACCTGTAATGTGCTGCTGCTCCGTTTGTTTTTGTGGACATTGAAAGAAAAGGGAGGGGAGAGGTAGAGAGTGGATAAGAAAGCACAGCAGATGTGCAAGCACTGAATAGATGACTTACAGTGCTGTCTCATTAAGACTTTCTGTAATTCAGTTATGTGTATTATGAGAGAATACTACAAGTTCTATGGGATTTCTCGTAGACTGTCCTATCCCCTTTTGTTTTGTCATGATTGTATAATCCCCATGTCTTTTGAAGCCTGAATCTCTGAATGAACATGCATTTTGGAAACAGCTTGTGAATTACTTTAATAAGATTTGGATTTAAATCTTCCTGACAGCTCTCAAGTTATGCTTAAGCAAGAGAAATACAGACTACTAAATAACTATAAAGGAAGGATAGCTAAAATAGTGAAGCTAAGAGGAAGCAGTGTTTTGCTAGTGTAAGTGGGTATAACTGTCCTAAAATGTCTTAAACTTACATGTGGTGTGTAACTTGTGAAATGGCTTAAGAGATGTGTTGTATCTACAGTTTGTGTACTCTGAGAAAATTTCAACATCAGTGGTGCAGTAAAGACTCCAAAAAAATAATGTTTAAAAGGAGTTGGAAATAGTTTTCCTTGTCCTTTTTATTTTTTTATTAAAAATAACAAATGCTAACAGTGTTGCTTCCTCATTATTGTCTCGTTTGTGGTATTCTGGTGCATATCTTGTGTTTGCTTAATGGTTACACTTGCTGACCAAGACTAATTTAAGACACAGATCCTGTTGTTATTTCATTAAGAAACGTTTTTTGAATGTGACTCAATATCTGACAGGTGATGAACTGACCAATTTTTAAAAAAGTCATGGTTTCTATGTTTAGGTTTGGTTGTTTGGGAATGTTTGGTTTTGTTGGTTTTAATTTTTTGTGGGTGTGTGTTGTTTTCGTGGGGGCTTTGTGTGTGGGGGTTTTTTCTTTTTTTTTTTTTTAAAGCTGCTTGCAAGTACTGTTAAAAAGCTTAAATACCAAGTTTATTGTGTCTGAAGGCTATGCCAGGCTGGTTTCAGGGAAGCTTTAAGACTGTGGTGCTGCCAAAAGAAGCAGTCCTGTCTGGCTGCTATTTCAACTTCCCTGTGTTGGTCGAGATGTTTGTGGGGCTGTGTAATGACCCATATTAGAAAAAATAATTTGTATTGAAAGTAATCTAGTATGTGCTTGCAGAAATACTTGTACTGGCATAAGGGAGATCATCAGGAATGTGAGGAAACACAGGATGGGAGAGATGGGATTGTTTCTTTAAACTAGCAGAGCTACCGTATTCTGATTTCAAGTACTGTGGAGCTTTAGCAGCTTCCTTTGTAAAATGCAGATTTTTTTTTAACATGGAAGTGAAATGACTCAGAGTTAGGTGTCACCTCTCTACTGTTTAGGGTGGAAAGCAAGGGAAAAAGAAGCTTGAGATGCCAAAAGTGAGGGGATTACAGCCCTGGTGTTTCAGGCATAGACCATGTTCCTTGCAGTCGTGGTCCTCTCAAAAACACTGGTGTTAGTAATTTCCTCTTGTGTCACCTTGTTAATGTGCACCTCTGGCAGGCTGTGCGTCTCTTTCTGAGACTAGTCCAGAGGAAAGCATCGTTCGCTGAAGTGAGAGGGGCGGCTGCTCTTGCATAGCAACATATGATGCTTAGGACCTTTTTTTCCTTGGCCTTGAGTACTGGTGCCCTTACTTGGCGTAGTTGTAGCCACTACAGATTGACAAGGAGCACCAGAGTCTACAGGAAGAGGATAATTTCATTTGATACTGTTGAAACAGTATGTTGTAGTTGTGTTGTTCTGAGGAATGTGTAGTTTTTCTGTGAAAGTATGCAGCATGTAGAAGCTTACTGTTAAAAAGGAGCTGTTTTCCTACATATTTCTATTACCATTATTGTTTCTAAATAATCTTTAGTAGAGGTTAATAAAATTTGAGATTCTTGCATATTATGAGAATATTTACACAGACTAAAAAACTCACCATCAATCTAGTCTTTTCAATTTTTTTTTAAATATAAACATTGTTTGGTTAAGTGGGTGTTGTGTGTCAAGGTTTTACCCATTACAATTAAATGGAAACAAAAGCTGCACATAGTTGAGTGGTTTTTATTCAATAGTTAAGGTTTTCTATTCAAAGCTCTTTTTCTTTCAAATGTTGTTATATCCATACTCTTCTTACAAAGAAAAATATTTGGGAAAAGGGTAGCAAATATATTTTAGCTGCTGGGGTTGGATGTAGTAAATCCAATGCCTTGTTTGTTAAAAAAAAAAAAAAAGTGGCTACTTTTCACTTTGTCAGTTGTTAGGGAAAATTCCTAAAACTGTGTGGAACTGACTACAGGAGTTTGAGTTATGTGGAAGTGACTATCAGAGTATGAGATCTTGTCTTCTGCCTAGAGGTTTTAAAGGTGAAGTAACTATCTTGTTCTATATCCCCAGGATCTAAAGATTTGTCTAAATTGGGATTTGGATTTCAGCTAACACCAGTTAAAGTCAGAAATATATATTATTTAAGTATTCATTTAAAATCTTGGACTGAATTTGAAGTTTGTATTACTTTTTCTGTAGTAGACTTCTGAATGCCTTCATTGACCTTTACTAGCTAATACCATCTCGCCTTTTGTCTAGACAAAATCTGAAATGGTCCGATACACTACTGTGCTCCTTCAGAGACTCATGCTTGCTGATGATGAGAAGTAAAAACTTAATCTTAATAAAGCATATATTTTGTAGAAATTGGAAATATCTTGGTCACAACTAGTGAATGGTAAGTGGACTTTTGAAAGCGGTGTTTATGAACACGAGTGCTACATTTCTTCTTTTAGATGAGGAAAATGTCTGTGAACAAGTGTGAAAGTGTCATTTTAGGAGCACTGGATGTCTTACGTCCTTGGATTTAATGAATAAATTGTTGAGATGTAGTTTCTGGGAGACCTATCCTGTCTGTATTGAACTGGGACAAAATTTCTATTTTGTTGCTTTAGTGGAATTGAAAAGTTTGTTTAATGTTGAGCCAAATTGCAAATGTACATAGTCTTAAGGCTTGAAGGTAGTTAAAAGCTAAGTCCAGTGAAAAATTCATACATTTGAAACTGGTTTTGTTATTACAATTATGCTTTGTTTCTGTATAACCTTAAAAGAGCTAATTTTTGAAGTTGTTGGCTGTTTAGGTAAAATCATATATGTTTGCATTTTAAACAAGAAGGTATAATAGAGTAATGCTTCTTTAAGTGTTCCAAGAGAAACCTAAAGATAAAGCTTTCACCATTGGCCTAAGTCCTCATCCCAATTGATTTTCTTTCCAATATGGTAGCTCCAATGAAGTGCAGAGCTATGTGTTAGATTTAAAATTGGTCTAAGATTTTGTCACTGTCCTTTTTACTCCACTCTTTCTGGCTGCATGCTTTTATTTACTCCATAATCCAGCTCAGTTTGGCACTTCATTAAGCCACTTTGATAACCTATTTATGTGGAAGTGATTTGTGGGTATCAAGATCTTGGTCACTGAAGGACCTGAAGGATGTCAGGGCTGTTGTAAGGGGAAGATAACGTGTTACACAGCCTGGCAAGCAAGGCTGAAGGAGGAGTGGTCGCGTGTGCAAGGGGAGTAGGATTTGCCACTTGACAGTGGCTGGCTCCTGACCTGCTCTGATCTTAGCATGCAGCTTCACTGCCCTTCCAAGAGTAAATTTGCTATTTCTTATGTGTTGTCTTTTCATGATAAACAGGTTAATGTTTGAACCCCTTTAAACAAAAGGTATTACCTCTCCTTTAGTGAATGTTCATGTCTCTGACAATCTCATTTTCTGTTCTATAGGAACCTGTATTGCTGAAAGCACAAATAGGGAGTTTTGAAATAATTGCTTCGTTGGCACCAACTAACAGTTTGAGGTAAGATTAATTCTGTTTTTAAATGTTCTGATTGAACCCAACTATTGAAAATTAAAACTGCTTTTGTTTTCCTAAAATTTATGATTGCAAGAAGCTACAATTAGTCTATCTCTTGTAAAGATCAACTATACTTGTCATACATGGAATGCAAAATGTATAAATGTTATTGTTGAGCACAGGGAAAATAATAATATATTTATTTAAAGCTGAGATTTGGTTATATTATAAACATTGTCCATCTGATGTTTGGTTTAAAAATTACTTGTAAGAGAAAAAAAATCAGGTTTTTTTTTTCTATCACCCTTGGAAAATTGGCACGCATCATGTCTTACAACACTTTAAAAGCTCTAAATTTATGTTGCCTGTGAGTATTGAGCTTAAAAGATTATAACCCATTTTCTGTGAGTTTAATTGAATGCATTGAATTAGAAACCATCTTCTGAGTATAGGTTATGCAAATTTGCTTTTTAGTGGAATGAGCCCATAAAAGACAGCATTCAACATATTCTTCACCAAGGTAAATAGTTTTTTCTGAGTTACATGTAAAGCTAGTTTAGGTTAAAAAGTTTTGTTGGGTTAGTTTCAGGTGAGGTTACATCTCTGGGGCCATGCAGACTTGTGGGGAAAGTCATGTGGGGCAGGAGGAACTAGCTGATAGGGGAAAGGTTGGTCTGCTTTTTTCTTTAGGGTTCTCTTAGATGTGTCTAAAATCTCTGAAATTTTATTAACTTAAAATTAAACTCTGATGTTGTTTTTGTCTTTACATAATTGAAGTATCACCCAGGTAACAAGACAGGTTATATAAAGTACCTTGCTGTGTTGACCTTGTATTTTTAATTCAGTAATTTTAGATTTTAAAGCCTGTTTGCAACACAAAAGCTAAATGTTTGTTTCTTTCCATTTCTGTTTTAATTATTATTAAACAGTGATGATTATTTAGCATTCAAAGGCCTGAAAATATGTAGTTACTTGTTAATAGTTTATATTCAGATTGTCTAATGTGACCCTTTTTTTTTTTTTTTAAAGCTGGGCAATTTCAAAAGAAAATGGTAATGGGTCAAAGTTTTTATTAATTAAATTGGGGATTTTTAGCCACTGATCTGAAAAGAAAAAGAAAAGGTGTGTATTTTTTTATGGTTAGCATTAATTCTAAATATTTACTGTGACTGTATGTAAGAAGAAATGATAGTTTATTATTTATTTTCTTTTAGGTCTCATGGCTTTATAATCAATTGTAGTTTTCATAGCTTACTTTGTGCTGAAACATGTTGAATTTTGTTGCAAGCCATATTATTTAACTAGTTGTTAAAATCTTTAAGTTGGCCATGCATTTTACTTATAGATGAAAAAACAAAGTTAACCTAAAAAGATGCAGGGTGAGCATCTTGACTAGTGGAAAATCGGATTAGAGTGATTAGCTTTAGTACATGTGGTTAAAGAGAAATAATACCTGTGGCTCAAACTTAACAACTACTGGACAGAATACTTCAGGGCTTTTTCTTTTCTATGTAAAAGGTACATTGTAGTGGACTTTAAACTCCTTCCAGAGAAGGAATAGAGCATTGGAAGTGCGAGGAAACTATAAACTGCACAATAGCAAAACTTTTTTAAAATACATCAGAATGTCCAGAGTTATGTTATTCGTGTCTTAATTTGCAGAAATGGTTTGGGTTTTTTTCCTGTTTCTTCTTCTTCTCTTCTACAGGATCAGATTGCAGTTAAATCTGGAAAACCTTTTACTGTTATACTTCATCCTTTCAGACAAAGCGTGTGCTTTGCAGCAATGTTAAATTCTTTAAAATGTGGTTGAGCTTTTAATTTACTGATAAATGTACTCATATTGTCTCCAAAGTTCTTTCATTTAGCCAATGCTATACTTCTTTCTAATACTGTCATTTTAGCATATACAAATTTTGTTCATTTGTATCATTTATATAACTTACATGGACTCTAAATAGTTGCTTCCATTTTTTCCCCCTCCCCTCATTGCTTTTCCTTTTGGGAAGGAGTATATCTACTGAGAAAAATGGGTCGATCTAACTCTAGATCACATTCTTCAAGATCAAAATCCAGATCTCAGTCCAGCTCTAGGTCAAGATCCAGATCACATTCAAGGAAAAAGAGATACAGGTAAGTTGATGTCACACTGCATGAAAAGGTGGTTTGGTATATTAGGTTTTGTCTGGAAAATGTTTTTCACTTGCATGATGCTGTGGCAAAAGTGAGCCTGGGATCTTATTTCATTTTAGGCAGTAGGCAAACTATGCTTTGAGTGTAATTTTCGTTACTTTGTTTAATAATTGGGGGGGGTTCCATTTTCATGTATCTCAAGATAATTTCAGAATGCGACTAGTTCTTCATGATTTGTGGCCCTTTTGATTCTTCCCTTCCCCTTCATAAGATCTTTTCTTTGTCCGGTCTCTTTCTCTGTAATTTGTTCTGTATTTCTCATTCCACTTTTCATATCTGAAGTAACTTATGGCTTCAGTAGATAAACTTTGCTTGAGAAGACCTTGTCTTTTCAGTTGCCTCCAGCCTTTTGCTCATCTTTCTTACTAGTGGACTTTACCATCTCCCATAAAAGAAGCGGGTCAGTTGAATGTTTACTGCCTCATCAGCTGCTATCCACAGGCTGGCATATGAAACTGGGGGTCATGTAGCTTCATGTTCCAGGCTGTGAACCAAGGTGGCTGAGAAACTGAATGCCATGTTCCAGAGTGGTGATAATCTCTAATAAAATGGCAGGGCAGGTCACTGAGGCTGGTAACATCTTAATCATGTGATGCAGTTTCACAGTCCTTAGAAGTATAAACATGCTTATTACAATAAATATATTACGGAAATAATAAATAGAGATTGTAGAAGTTACTGCAAGACCGTTAGTCCGCATCCTTTAGCATTCTAACTGCATTCGAGAAATCTAGCATTTAGTGTCAAGGCACTTCTTTCTTTTTAGTTTTCCAATTGTCAGATGTTAATGTTTGCTTTTTAATTTTAGTTCTAGGTCTCGGTCAAGGACGTATTCACGATCTCGCAGCAGGGATCGTGTTTATTCTAGAGATTATCGCAGAGATTACAGAAATAATAGAGGAATGAGACGTCCCTATGGTTACAGAGGAAGAGGTAGAGGGTATTATCAAGGAGGAGGTGGTAGATACCATCGTGGAGGTTATAGGCCTGTCTGGAACCGAAGACACTCCAGAAGCCCTAGACGTGGCCGTTCACGTTCCAGAAGTCCAAAACGAAGGTCTGTGTCTTCCCAGAGGTCCCGGAGCAGATCTCGTCGATCTTACAGATCTTCCAGGTCCCCGAGGTCCTCTTCATCTCGTTCTTCATCCCCATACAGCAAATCACCTGTCTCTTCCAAAAGACGTGCGTCTCTGGAAAAGCAGGCAAAGAAAACTGAAGGGGCTCCTTTGCAAGATAGCCCCTTGAAAAATAAATCACAAGATGAACAGAAAGATACATTTGAACATGACCCATCAGAGTCTCTTGACGATTTTAACAAATCATCAGCAGCTTCTGGCGACATTTGGCCTGGCCTTTCAGCATATGATAACAGTCCAAGGTCACCCCACAGTCCTTCTATTGCCACCCCACCTAGTCAGAGTTCATCTTGCTCTGATGCCCCTTTGCTTAGCACAGCCCACTCAGCAAAGGACACACCTCAACATTCCCATTCCATTCAGCATAGTCCTGAGAGGTCTGGCTCTGGTTCTCTTGGAAATGGTTCTAGCCGTTATAGCCCTTCTCAGAATAGCCCATTGCATCATATCCCTTCGAGGAGAAGCCCTGCAAAGACAATCCCATCACAGAGTGCCCCCCGTGAGGAAGCTCGAGTGCGGTCATTTTATCCTGAGGGTGGTGAACAGGAAGCTGCAAAAGGTGGAAAGTTTATGAAAAGGTAAGAATTAAATTATAAGCCTGATGTTGCCTCTTAAAAAGTTAGAATTTTGTCAAGATTGTCACTATATGTTGAAAAAGGCGATTTGGAACACTAGTACTATTAATCTGGTTGGAACTGAGCTTGAAACATGTATATGCGAAGATGCTTCAGGATCTCGACTGCTGGCTAGTGAAGATAGGGTTATGTATCCTTGAGGAAAAATGGGTTTGTGCTTTTCCTTCAAGGTGTATTTTCTTGTACTCAATTTTTTGCTGTTAAGAAAAATCTTAATTGGAATAGTGCATCAGACTTGCTTGTTTGATAGTGAATTCTCTTCAGGTATTTCAAAATTTTAATGGTTGATATAGTTTGAAATGCAGATCTTCTGGAACTCAAAAAATGCTGATGTTTTGCAATGATTTCTTTATGTTAACATAAAGAACGCTGATTGCTAATTGTGTGGTGCAATATGACAGCTTTGTCTTGACTCGCATTACTTATCAAAGAGAGTTGGTCTTGGTATTCTTGGAACATAATTCTGTTGATGTGAAGGAACTTCAGTGTATATTTTCCAGTGAATGTAAAATTCTTCAATTCGTTCTTGAAATGTTTGATATAGTAGTAATTTTTGAAAGTTGTAAAAATCTTACTGATATTAGACTGTTCCTTTCTAATGTGACTAGTACTTCAGTGGATTTCTTATAAAATGTGTTACAGAGAGAAATTGTGACTATGCTATATAGGCTTGATTGTAGGCTTTTAAAAGAATTTGTCCAGTCAGTGATTTATTATGTAAAAAAATTACTGCTTAGAAGATCAAAAATATGACTTCCCTTGGATTAGGTGTATTGGAGTTGGTGATTGTATTAGAACCTGTGTGAAAATAGTGTATAGATAAGGCAGTGTGTGAAACAACTGGTAAGTGTGTTCTGTATTTAGGAGAGCTGCCTTCTAAAGGTTCCCTGCTAAGCCTGTTTCATATTCTGGAATTATCTTAGTAATATGCAGGATCTTGAAAATCGTTCACATTTTTGTGGTACTCCTTTAACTTTTCCTGTAAAAGAAGTACAAAAATGAATTGTAGTCTGAATTCTCAAACTTCATGTGAATTTGATGGAAAAAATGAGTAGTATAAGAGAATGTGAAAATGGGTACTGATTAAGAAAAAAAAGCCACTAGCTTTCTTATAAACTATAGCAGAAAATTTCTAGGTAGTCTCCTCCAGTAGCGCATAAAGGACAGTGGATACAGTGTTAATGGTGTGTGAAGCATTGCATGCTACAGTTAATTGCTCGGAGGAATATATTTTCATCATCATCTTGGTGTGGGATTGACACGAAAGAGGAATGCGAGTGAACTGGAATGAATGCAATCCAGAGTTACGAGTCTCTTCTTTGCTATCCACAGGTACACAGATGAAGAGTCTAGAGTATACCTGCTTGATAGGGGTAATACCAGGGAGAAGGAGGCCCAGAAGGAGAGAGGATCAGAAAAAGGGAGGACAGAGGGAGAAAGGGAATGGGAGGAACAGGAAACTTTAGATTTTTTCATTGATAAAGAGACTGGGAAAGAAAAGTTTAATGACTCTGAAGGGGAGGACACAGAGGAGACAGAGGATTACAGACAGTTCAGAAAGTCTGTCCTGGCAGATCAGGGTAAAAATTTTCCTACTGCATCTCACCGGAATGCTGAGGAGGAAGGAACCAAATACAAATCTAAAATATCAATCAAGGGCAATAGAGAGAGCGATGGATTTAGAGATGAGAAAAGTTATAAGCTTAAAGAGACTGGCTATGTAGTGGAAAGGCCTAGTGCAACAAAAGATAAGCACAAGGAAGAAGACAAGAGTTCTGAGAGACTAATGATGAAGAAAGAAACTCAGTCACCTGAGCAGGTAAAGTCTGAAAAGCTCAAAGAACTCTTTGATTACAGTCCCCCTCTACACAAGAATCTGGATGCGAGAGAAAAATCCACCTTCAGAGAGGAGAGCCCACTTAGGATCAAAATGATAGCCAGTGACTCCCATCGTCCTGAAGTTAAACTCAAAATGGCACCAGTACCTCTTGATGATTCCAATAGGTAAATTATTCCACTTTACAGTGTGGTTCTCCATTTGTCTGCAGTATTGTTCATCTTTATTTAAACTATTGGTTTCTTTTTGTGTGTCTCTTTTCTGTTGTTGATGCATTTTAGACCTGCTTCCTTGACTAAAGACAGGCTGCTTGCTAGCACACTTGTTCATTCCGTCAAGAAGGAGCAAGAGTTCCGATCCATCTTTGACCACATTAAGTTGCCACAGGCCAGCAAAAGCACGTCAGAGTCATTTATTCAGCACATTGTGTCCTTGGTTCATCATGTCAAAGGTATGTATTTAGTTTATCGTATGGGATACACGTCTGACCACTTCATTTAAGCCTATTTGCTGTTTCTAGTATGGGAAGATTTCAGCCCTCTTTTAATGTTGATTTAGCCAGACTTTCTTCCTTTTAAGGTATGCATAAAAATAATTAGAAAAATAATAGCCACAGACACTAGTATTAAAAAAACTGCAAGCAATGTAGAGTATAGTAGTAGTTATACTATGTTTCTGGATAAATTTTTGAATGTAGGTAGCATATAAAGTTTTCTAGTGTAGTTTAAACATACTACATTAGCCAATTTTTTCTTACTTAATTTTATTTTAATGACTCTAATATATAATTTATATTAAGTGGTGCAGTGTGGATTGACAGATGTTTTTAGTACTGTAAATACAATGCCATTCCTTTTGGAGCACCATAGAGGTCATTTCCAGGTTCTTATTAGAAGGGGGTCTTTCTCTTAGTAAGATTTAGGAAAAAATGCGTTCTAAATGGTGCTAAAATCTATGGTAATATTTCATTTTATTCCTATTTGACAGCATTGTCAGGAATTTCACTTAAAAGAAATTTGGCAGTGGCTAAATAAACCTCTGTTAAATGAGCTACTCACTAATCATTTTCTGTTTTAACAGTAGTGGCTGTTTAATATGAACACCAAAAAAAACCCCTCAACAAACCAATCAGAACAACGAAAGTCCCCCCCAAAAAACACTGAAACCCAAACCTAGACCATCAAAGTAGATATATTTCACTTAGGTCATATATCCTCTTAAGTTTTCTTGATGGAAAATAAGTAATTCCTAAAATCCAGTGGGGATATCTAGAGAGTTCTTCAAATGCTTTTTTCTATAGCATTTGCTTTACTTCACTGGGCTGTTGTCTTCTTTTTGTGTTAAATGTAACTGAGATAATATGGAGCTAGTGAAAGTAATTTTACCACATCATCATACTAAGGGGTAATGTGGAAATGCTTGGTTAGGTGGCCAGTTTCAGTGAATCTGTCTCCAGGCATTGTTTTTAAGATGTGTTAGATTTTAGAATTGCTAAGATTTATATGCTGGAAATATGTGCTGACGTTAAAAATACTTTGTTGGCATAATTCAGATTACTAAAGGCAAATGATTTCCTGCATTTTGAATTACTTATAAAGAAGAAGGTAATAGTCAACAATAATGGATAATGGTAATGTATTAGATAAAAAAAATATTGGGACACCTGTTTAGAGTATAATGATTTGTTGTGAAAGTATCTTATTTTCTTGCTATGTGAAGAAATTTAAGGCTCAATCCAGTGAGAGCTTCTCTTAAGTTTTTGCTTATATGGTGCATATGTAGGTGTAGGTGAAAATACTACTTCTGAAACTCTCACATGTTGATCACAGAATAGAATTTTTCTATAAACTTTTGTATGTTAAATATCTGGTAAATTTAACAGCTTAACAGCCTATATAATCAAGTGATTAGAATATGTGCAGTTATGGTTGCTTTTGAAAGCAGAACATCTCTTTAAGTTTCATATTTACTATGGTCTGTGATCAGATTTTTAGTAACACTTTTAACAAACTGAAGTTATGTTCATTATTGGTGTGATGCGACCAGTCTGAACAGCTCTTTATTGATGTAGAGCTGAAAATGCCCAGTGATGTTTTCTTTTTCATTGTAACTAGGTCCTGGAATGTGTTTTGAAATGGCAAAATCCATGTTACAAAAGTAAAATAGCTGTTGAAAGATACAGATGCCAAACAGGCAAAGTTGAACCTTCTGTCTTCCTGGCAAAAATGGCATAAAAACAGAGTTGCTAGCTCAAATTCCTGTGTTTGATGGAATTATGATTGAGGCACTACCCTTGTAGTGGCCGTTTCAAGTTTTAATGGTTGGTTATGAGACAAATTCTGGATGCCGGGCGGTAAGTTGATACAGATGTATGTTGACCTGTTAAGCAGATAGCTTGCTTCATATGTAACATTTCATAGCTCATGACTTTATGTATTTCTATATTACATTTAAACACATTTGTTGAGCTGGTTTGAAAACTGAGTTTTGCTGTGGCTAATTTAACTGTCTTTGAAGGAAGGAGAAAATTTGTCAGAGAAGTTGTCAAGTTTGCCAAGATGCCAGATCCTTAAATGATTTTACCTATGTATAGGTGTATTAATTGTCTTGGATTGTTTATCATCACAACTTCCAATCAAGAAATTGTATCCCTTTAAGAAAAGACTTGGCAGGTCTTTCATGTAGTTATTGAAGCATATATTACTTAAATGTTTTCACTAACTCTTAAGTTAAAGATGAGATGAATGGTAAACTGTACTTACTGCAAGTATTCATGACTCTCTAAGTAACTTCACTTTCTCTTGTGGGCAAAGTATAGAGTAAATGTTTAAGAAATTGCTCTTTCTCTTTCATTAGAGGAAAATGTCATTAAAAATAAGAAAGTCCAATCAGTAAATGATGCTTGAATTCGATGTAATACAGTCATGGCATAGTAGACTTGCAGTGATGCTGTGCACTTACTTTGTTTGGGTTACAGAGTGTGGAAAAATAGGGAAACCGCCACATTTGCTTGTCCTGATAAATTTATAGAAAATACTGTTTATTGCCTGTTACTTGCCTTTGTCAGGAGTAAAATACCTGTCAGTTGAATTAAACTAATGAAACAGTGGTTTTTTTCTATTGTAACCAACAGAGCAATACTTCAAGTCAGCTGGAATGACCCTAAATGAGAGGTTCACTGCGTATCAAAAAGCCACTGAAGAACACTGCACCCGACAAAAGAGCCCAGAAATACATAGGTATATATGTTAACTACATATGCAGATGCTTTTTGTTTCAAATAATGTCTGCTAATATTTCTTTTGAGAATCCAAAATATTTTTTCTAATCTGTGTGGGGTAATTTGTGTAATTACAAAATACCAAAAAAAGCCCTTCTGTAAAAGAGAACTCATCTGAGTCGAGTCTGGCTTCATCTGTGGTTGTGTAACAGATGTCTTCTCTACCTCTGTATCTCATTTGGGATATATTTACTTTTCTCACATGCAGTGCTCAAATATTGAGGGGCATATGTCTTGAAGATGAAAAGAAGCCCTGTACATGCATCTTTCTTCTTCAGTGTGAAATGTTTCATCTCATACTACTTTAGTTTTTGTGTGTGTTAATTTACAGCAGTTTTTTGAAAAATCTGAGAACCCAAAAGGTAAGAAGGTAGGCATGCAAATGTAGTGTCTGATCATGTGCTATAATTTTATGATGCAGTGTACTATATTTGTGTTGCATGTGAGGATACGGTGTCCAACTCTACAAGTTTTCTTAGCTGTTAAGTATTTTTGACTTCACAGCTAACTATCATAGTGCTGGTGATTTCTTGGAGGGGGTGGGCTTTCAGCTGGTTACATATACTGATCCTTTTGAAATAAATCATTAAACATTTTTTTGTATCTTCAAAGCTGTACTTGAAATGTGAAACATCAATCTGCCTATATTTGTGTTTTTAGCGTACTTTACACAGAACAGAACCAAGGTTTTCAATTTTTAGTCTGCTTCTGTATTCTGATGGTGGGGCTTTATATGCAAAGTTTGTCTACTGCAAAAGTGCCTTCTCAGTTTTCTGTTGAAAAGAAGTGTTTGAGGCCATTAACAGTCACATATGTGTATGGCAAGACACTGCTTTTATTTTACATTTAGGAGGATTGACATCTCTCCAAGTACCCTGAGGAAGCATACTCGTTTAGCAGGTGAAGAGAGAGTCTTTAAAGAAGAAAGTCAAAAAGTAGGTTCTAAGTAAATGTCCTACCTGTGCTTTTAAACTTAATTTATTGTTTCCTTTTAAATCTGAATTTCATCTCTGTTTATAAAATAAAAAAGTAATTTATAGTACCTTGAGTACTTTTATTTAGAATTTTTTTTTCCTTTGAGTAAAACATGTTACTTAGAAGCTCATTTATGTACCATGATTTTGCTGGATTGATAATGTGGCATATAAGGTCAAGTCTTCTCCCATGCTTCCTTTCTTCTTGCATGTGTCTTGACCACTAAGCTGCCTAAGGACAAAGAACAGGTGTTGGGGCAAGGGGAAGTACCCACATGGTCAATGAGTAGTGTGGTTGAATTGCAAAGATGCTTGTACTCTCCTTAAAAACAATTCACCAGAAGAAATGAATACTTAAATATCTCCCCAAACCGTGCATTATGGTGTGTATGCACCAAAAACTAGATATATCCCATTGCCTTGATGGGAATGCTTGTTTGAAACTGAAATTCTTAGCTGTTCTTTTTTTTAGATGTAGCCATTGCATGTAAAGGGCAAAGTCAATTTGTGTGCTGAAGTTTGTTGAGAAATAGGTAAATTCTATCTTTTTTTTGTTTTGTTTTTTTTTTTTTAATTGATGCCCAACTTGCCTTGTCACTGAGATTCTCTTCTGGACATTTTATTTCAAAATTTTGTTCCAAAATATATATTTGTTTACAGGGAGATAAAAAATTAAGGTGTGATTCAGCTGATCTTCGTCATGACATTGACCGACGTAGAAAAGAACGAAGTAAAGAGCGAGGAGACTCAAAGGGTTCCAGGGAATCCAGTGGGTCAAGAAAGCAGGAGAAAACTCCAAAAGATTACAAGGATTACAAATCTTACAAAGATGACAGGTAAATATTTGAAGTCCTTATATAGAAATATACCTTCTAATTAGCCTTTTGTAATTGTAAGCTTAATTGCTTTCAATTTTCAATGTATAATGGAACATTTAATTTTAAACAATTAAAATTATTTGTTTTACAGCAAATATGTATTATCTCTCTTTTACACGGCTTATGGTGGATGAGGACAAAAACTTTGGAATAGCAAGCTAACACACTGAAAAAAAAAATGACAAATTAATCTGTCCTATTATCCAGGCTACATCAGGAGGTTGGACTTCAATGCAGTACATTTCTATAAACAGTTTGTGTAAGAACTTTGGTTCGTTATGCTTGATTCCGCACTTTTTCAACTCATAACACCCAGAGTATGAGAATTTTACTGATACTTAATTTTTAACATGGGTGAGAAGGGGAATTTTTATTTTTGTCTAAAGCCAGTGGGCTGTTTTAAGAAAAAAACATTAACATATCTCAGTGGATACTGTGTAGAAGTGGTAAGAGTTATTTCAGGTATGACCTTTCTTTGAATAGAATATTATTAAAGTCTTGTAAATTGGGTCAAATTAATGCCACTATGGGGTTACTAAGAGTCTTGCTGTAGGAATTTTTTTTCCCTGCTTTGTACTGTATATAGAATGAATTTTTACTTACGCTTCCTGATTCCCATTTACTTTCTGACTTCGGTATCCACATTTTCTTCCACTGGCTAATTCCCTACAGCCATCTACGTAGGGAAGCCCATGCTCAACAGTGTGCAAACTGAACTATGTAAAGTTTCTGTAAAACTTTGCCTTGATGGCTTTTTTCCCTTTAACTTCTGTTTTCTGCCTCAGAAGAAAGGCAGATCTTAAAAGTAACAGAATCTCTTCATGGTGTCAGAATTTAGAAAAACTATTTTGCAGTTTGCAGACTGCTGCTTTCCAACTCACTAGCAATAATAAACATTTAATGCACTTAAATGTGTAAGAGGAGGCTGGAAAGTGGAACTATACTTCGCCTTAATATCTCAAATATGTAACACGTGTGACTTTATAACCAGAAGGGGGCTAGTTTCTCATAAAATATAGAGACACGGTTTAGTATAGCATGTTACAGACTATCTAGTACGTTTAAAATAGCACATAGTATATTTTTTTATTTTTCAGTAAACAAAAAAGAGATCAAGACCGTGCTAGGTCCTCCCCATCTTCCTCCCCATCTTCTTCTTCATCCAGTTCTCGAGAAGAAAAAGATTGCAAGAAAGAAAGAGATGAAGAGTTCAAAACCCACCATGAACAGAAAGAATACTCTGGTTTTGCAGGAGTCAACAGGCCAAGAGGCACCTTTGTAAGTTTTTCTCTTATTCTTTCCTCAAATTATGGAAACTTCACAACAGATAAATGAGGGAGTGTCTCACTGTTTAATATTAGGCTAGACTTACTCCTGAGTTCTTTTATGTGATATACCAAAGCTAGTCTTTTTTTTTTGGTCTTTTTTTTTTTCCCAGCAGTGCCTAGTAGCAGTTAAATGCTATGTAAATATGCCATTAGAGGTCCTAGCATGAGGCTGGCAAAAAGGATTTCTTGATTATTCCTTGCTCTTGTGTAATTATGTTATTTCCTAACAGGATCCAAAAATTTAGTGTTCTGTAAAGTTTAAATCTTGTGTTCTATTACCTCTTAACTCCCTGCAGCTGCTGTTTTTCCCTGTCACTTTAAGTTTGGTTTTACCCTCCTTTGTGTGTGATGCCTGCAACTTGTCAAATAGAGAGTGGCACATAATTACACCTCAACATTGAAACAGGTGTATCTAGGAGATGGTATACTTGTTATTTTGTGTTTCTTTGGCTGGGACTAGCCACAGTGAGCATGAACGTTCATTGATTTACCTCTGGAATGTGTTTAAGCATTGTGATTTGGAAAGTGACACACTGACCACTATAGTCTTCAGAAAAAATCTTAAACTTTCAGATTCCATGTTAGTGTAATTATTTAAATGGGAAATGTAGGAGCATTACAAAAGACTAGTAATCAATAAAGGAGGCCTTGAAAAAGATAAGGAGCGCTTAAAAAAAACCCCAAACAACCCTAAACAAAACATAAAACCACCCCAAGACAGACACTCACCCACCCCCAATAACACAGCAAAAGAAACCCCCAAACCAAAATGAATCACAGAAAACAGTGCAAGTTCCATGTGATTGGGGAAAAACTGTCCAATAGTCTTACATAATAGGTAGGAGAAATTTCATACTTTAACAACAATTCCTTCATGTAGCCTGTAATTAAGACTAAATAATGCTAAAATACATTGTTTAGTATAAATGTACATTGAATTGTTAGTACTAGTGTACAAAATAAGTTTTGAATTACATATGAGGGTGTTTGAAATGCTTGTGGCATGTGCCAACACTTAAGGTTTGAATCGTCCATCTAAAAACCTGTAGCTGCTTAGAAGAAAATTCAAAGTTTTAAATTTCTAACACTAAAAGTGCATCATTTCCTCCTTTCTTCTTATTTTTATACAGTTATGCTAAGTAACATCTCTCTGGCATAAATATGTAAGTCCTTGGATGGTGTAGGCATCAATTATGACTATCAGCACAATTTCCAGCTGTATAAGCTAATGGCACAAACAAAACAGAAATTAGCAAAAGCAGAGCTTAAAACTCCATCTCCTCTCTAAGAGATTTAGCAGAAGAAGACTCATTGGTTGAAGGCTTCCTGCTTTATAAAACCAGATTGTATGTATTGTGAAAGAGATGCTATTTTATATGAAATTCAGGTAGATGTGAACTGGGAATTTAATAGACTTCTACTCATTTAATTACTAGTGACTGCCAGTTCTGACTACGCAGTAATAGCTGGTTAATGTTCCGTAATGACATATGTGGTCATACGCAGGCTTTTTGAACAAATGCTCTGAACCGGCGAATCTAAATAGGCCAACCTCTTGACTCAGATCTCCTCTTTAGGGATACAGCTTGGCAAGTACTGAAAAATACAGACCAGCTAGTGTAGGAATATGTTTGTAATGCAGGCTAACAGTGGCTGCATTCCAGTAAACACTGCTTTGCTTTTGGAGTAAATAAGATGCTTTGGTTGTGAAGCCTTAGAGAACATAACATCTCCCCTCTCCAGCCAGTTAATATAAGCTAAGCTGTCAATTTCATGTTAAATCAGCAACGGTTTTTCACTAACTTTTGGTGATACACGATTCTGTTTAATTCTATGCACCTCATACATAATCATCATGAATAGTTTTCAAATGTGAACAGAAATAAGGTTAAGTAGAGTTTTTCAGTGACGGGGTCATTAGTATCCAGCTCCAAAAGAATTTTGTGTGTAAAAGTTCTGTTTAAAAGGAGTTTTATACAGAAATTGTACTCTCTATTTTTTGTAGTAAGCAAGCACATAAAGATAAGACCATAGTAGATTTCACCTTCTGTAGTTCTTTACCTGAAAGAGATGATGTGGTAGGGGGAGGCATTCATACAGTGATGAGGAAAATTCTAGACGTTTTTCTTTAAGGGAATCCGATCGTAGGACCTAATACCAGGAAATGTTGATAATTTTTCTTTCTTTTTTAATCCTGTCATAATTTTGTCTCTATATCCTTCTCCCACCCCCCAGATCCAGCGGGATACTGTTTGTTGTGCCCTAGTTTTGTAAAGCTGTTGGAAATAAAGAAAGCATGTAGTATTTCCTCTCCTGTACAGTTAGTCTCTTGCTTTACTCTCCATGCAATTATTTTTGGTTTTTGCCTACAGGGTATTGAATAGGTCTTATGAGCCTTTTACTGATTGTTTTTCAGTCTGTTTGATTTCAGGGTAGTTTTAAAACTGTCCAGCATAAATTCTGTATTAGAAGTATTGGAGCTTTGGGGAATTAAGTGTTCATAATACTTCTCTTTTGAGTTAGTTAATCATATAAATTTTTTTGTCTGTGTTTATGAAATATACTTATTTCTAACAAATTAAATTAGTTTCCAAGTTATGTTTTTGTACTGTTACTGCAAAGATGCAGTTTTGTGCAATAGGCTGTTTATGGAAATTATGTTCTGTAGCAACTGCAAGTTTTAGCGTTCTTCCCAGCCTAACCTTTCTTATCCCTTTGGATGAAGGATATAAAATCATTTAAAGTTTTCTGCAAGCTAAGTATTTACATGTAAGGGAAGTATATATATTACTACTTAGTGTAAGTACTTAGGTACTTAGTTACCCTGCTTTAAAGGGTTTTTTTGCTGTGAGACTTTTTAGCCTAATGTTTAAAAATACCGTTAATACATTATAGAGAATATTTTAAGACACTCTTTTTTACTTCAAGCATTGCTACTCTGTACAGTACATACTGTTGTTTTTTTTTTTTTTGAGTAAAGAATTTACTCATTTGTAATTTAATTTGGCCTAAAGTACATTTTTGAGTCTCTGTTAAAAATGTGTGAGTAACACACAGTGGATATACTACTTTAAAAACTGCATTGTTAGTATGTATTCTAGAATCACTTCCTCATAACTGATACGATTGACTCCATGAATGACCTCTACGTTCCCCCTGACAGTTTTCTCCCTCTTCCAATCTAGTTTTCTTGTTTGCTTTTTGTCTGTGAACAGCTTCAGAAGCTATTCTGACCTTTTGTTGCAACACAAAAACTGCTGGTTTACCAGCAGCCAAAGGAAGTTTCTTTTTGGTGGTTGTGGGTAAACTTACGCCAAGTTCAAAAGTGTTTCAATTAAGCTTAATAGAATCATTATTTCAAAGTGAATGCTTGAATATATTACTTAAGGTAATATGTGAATTTGAAGATGGTTTTACACTTGCAGATACTGTAATTAAGCACAGAAAGAGTATTTTCAGTAACAGAGAACTTGCACTCTTTGTGGTTTTATGTAAATGGATTAAATGACATCTTGGTTAATCAGTTTCGAATTAGGGGCAGAGGAAGAGCCAGAGGAGTCTTTGCTGGAACAAATACTGGTCCCAGCAACTCAAATACTACTTTTCAGAAGAGACCGAAGGAAGAGGAATGGGATCCTGAATATACCCCAAAAAGCAAGAAATACTTCTTGGTGGGTGTGGAGAACTCAATGTCTTATGCATGCTTTTGTTTTTTCAAACTTTCTACAAGTGTAGAAGTAGCATGCATGTATGGAGAGGGACTTAAGTGACTGTGAGAATATCGGGGTGGTTGTAGTGTCTAGTTCTGCTTCTCTTGCATCTTTCTGCAGCAGGCTGGCAGTAACCGAGGCCTGACACAGAATTTATCCAAAACTTTCATCAGGGAGTGGGGAAGAAGGCAGGCTTAGACAAAAATTATTAAAACCAAACTTTAAACCAAAAAGATTTGTGCTGTGTTTTCCTGGATTTATGTCTTTATGACATTTGAGCTTTGTCTTAGATTCACCTGGAAGTCTGCAAAAGTGGAAAATCAGGAAAAGCTGACAGTATTTGTGGATGTATGTAGGCTGACTTTGTTATGAGCAGTTTTCTGCTCTTAGTTGATAGTCATAAGAAAATCACAATAGTTTTGATGCCTTTTTCCCATCTGGATTATGAAAGGAGGACTGTTGATGTAACCACTCTTAAGTAGTGTAGTATACTGAAAAGGTGGCCTCTACTCCAGTTGATTTCCTTAACAGTGCAAACTTTGAAGTATATTGTTTCACAACTGAAAAATAATAAGTAGTGAGGATTAGACCTTCTCCTATAGCATTATAGCTTACCAGAAATATGTTACCAGCTAACTAAGAAATAATGCAATCCTGGTTTGGGTGATTGAACAAGGAGTTTTCTGTCTTCCTACACATATATAAACTTTTCTGGTCTGTAAACATAGAGATACGATAATCTATCTATTAAGAAATCCTATGATACTAGAACAGTTAATTGTAGCTATTACACTTGAATTCATTAAAAATGTTTTTAGACAAAAATTACACCCTTTAGCTACTTTTATATAGTTATTAAACTGCTTTATATGGGTGTGATTATGTTTAGTAGTTCAGATTTCTTTCCAAATCACAAGTAAAAAAACCATATGTTGAAGCAAGCGTACCTCACCATTCTAAATGTAAACTTTTTTTTATATTAAATAATTGTCTGTAGCTTTTATGCAGTACATGGAATGATTGTCAGAACTTAACAAACAATATAAGGTTGTATTTGGTAGCAAGACAACAAAGTTTGGCTTATTAACCAACTCAACTGTTGTTTGTTAATGTCAGATTTAAACAGTTTAAACTTGATTTGCCCTGTGTTGTGCTGGGGAAGCAGGTTTTCTGAAAACTGCCTTCAGTTATTTTTCCTTATTAAGTATAAAAAACTGAAATAAAAATTGTTTTTAAAAAATCCTAGTACATTCCTAGAGCAGCTTCTTTTTAAAGTAACTATTTTTTCCCCTCAAAACTAGTAGTTCTTTATTTTGACAGAAGTGACAGATAAGTGATAGATAAGCTATTTGTTACAACATTTAGTAGACCCAGAGCTAATAAGGGCTCTTAAAACAATGTTGTGGTTTTAATTACAGCATCATGAATTGTAAGAATATAGTTCATAATGGATTCTATAAATTATGATCTGAAGAGAACTTTTTAACATTTACTTTGTTTTATACGTTTGCTATAGAGTGCTAACATTAAGGGGTACATTTAAGAGGTGTTCTAACCTTACTTTTTGTCTGGCATTATTGTAGCATGATGACAGAGATGATGGTGTGGATTATTGGGCCAAAAGAGGAAGAGGTCGTGGTACTTTCCAGCGTGGCAGAGGGCGTTTTAACTTCAAAAAGTCAGGTAGCAGTCCGAAGTGGACACATGACAAATATCAAGGGGATGGCATTGTTGAAGATGAAGAAGAAACGATTGAGAATAATGAAGAAAAGGACAGACGCAAAGAGGAAAAGGTAAATCGTTCAGTGGATTGCAGATTAGACAGTTCATCTTGTAAGTCATTGGGTGCAAGTGAGGATTACTTTAAAAGGTTTTGGAGTTTGGTTATTAACAGTTTACAACAAGACTTTTCTTTCTTTCCACAGGAATAACCCTGGAAGAAATTGTAGCTGAAAGAGCAGCTGTTGCACCACCCTCACAACATTTTTAATATGTTTTTTTTGTTGTCAAATGAATGTAAGCATTTTACTTAAATTTTACTGTTGGAAAGTAGTTTAGGGGGATTGTTTTTGTTTTAAGCCTTTAGAAAAAAATCATGATATAGTAAACTATGTTAATGATCGTACAGGTAGAAAGTAAAATATTTGTAACAACTTTTAAGAAATTTTACTGTTTGTTATATGCAGTGTAATTCTGCTTTGTCCAAATATATGGTCAAGTACAACTCTGAAAGTTTTGATTCTCCCCTATGTCTGTGTTTTATTCTGAAGTAAACTTACAGTTCTGCGCACCTGAAATCTTGGAGCAGCATTTTTTATAAACTGATTACTACTTCTATGTTGCCTTTTTATAAGAATTGTGTTTAAGGGTAGTTACACAGTCATAGTGTAAGTACAAACAGTTGTGCAAAATACTGATTATATGTTCACAAGAATCACGTTCACATAGTATCAGCGATAAACCTGGATTCTTATTCCACCCTGCGAGAGTGCAGCAAGCGGTGAAATTTTCACTCTTCTTTAGTAGCCTAAGAAATACATACGTATATAAATACTAAGTGAGTTTCAAGTGTATTCTTTGATAGCTTAGTCATCAGCAGAACACTTTAGTGAATAAATTGGTGGCAGTATATTTTTTACCAATTTTTTTTTTTCTTTCCTGTTTGTTAAAACTGCCTCTTTAATTTTCTCTGTGTGGACTTGCCTCTCCAGACTTGTAATCTGGCAAGAGTAGGTCTTTAAGTGTTTCATTGGTAAAGATAATTCAGATATAGTGGAAGTGTGAGAAATGAATCTTACTTTCTATACACTGATTTCTAATAGTTGTGCTTCTGGAATTTTTGTAGCCAAAATGCAGATGTTAGTCTGCTTTTTTTTTTTTTTTTAAATAACAAACCCACAAGCTTAGTTTAGTGGTAGGTGCACACTTAAACTCCAGAATGTGAAGGGTGACACTACGAGAACAAGGACATTCTAATACAACAAGATTACTTTGGTTTTCTTTCTCAAACAGCTGTTGATAAACTAAATCTTAATGTTATGTGGAGTTAAAAGTGCAGTTGTTCTTATTCACCCCTTGGAATAGCATACTGTTTTTAAAAAATAAAAAAGGAAAGGAAAAGCTTTGATAGAGGTGTTTGTATTAAATACATATATAATGTATGCCCTCTTACTGGCTTTATTATTAGGGAGTAATTAACCATCTGCCCTATCCAAGTTAAATACTAGAAGGCAGGAAAGCAGTACTGTCTCTAATCCTAACTGTAGTTGAAGAAACTGTATTTTGAATTTGTACTAGTTTGCCAGCAGCTGTGTAGAAAGGGAAATAGGAATAATACTTGCCCTCCAGTAGTAGTTAGTTACTAAAGTCATTCCTTCTTTATGTTTTAGAAAGTTTAGGCCAACTATACTGTTGTTGTAAGATTTGCTTTTACATGTACAGTGCATGTTTTAATAGCTGTTTGAAATGTAAAACTGAATATTCCTTGGACTTTTTAGCAAAACTCACACAGACATTTCTGTATATTAAATCAGAATAAGCAGAAAAGGAACAAAACAAACTTGACATCAGTATCAAAGTCTTTCTTAATGAAGTAAAATTTAACACCGATCTGAAAATAACAAATAGGACCAAGATACACTTGAGCTGTCATAACCTTAGAACAGGTAATCTGTATCGTCTAGGTCAAGTCGGAAGTGGATGGTTGTGGTCTATGTGTCATAAAGCAAGATAATTCCTGGGTGAATAGGCAGATGTAAGTATTGTGCTTCAGCTGAATGTTCAAGGAGATCTAGTGGAGTTTCCTTTGGTAATGGCATTTGATCCTACAGACCTGTCTGTAGGTTAGATCATAAAAATCCTTTTTTCACAATCCCTAATTTCAGTGCAGTTTATTAAAAATATAATCTGATTTCAGAACACATACTGACAGGTATAAGCATTTTTAAAAATAAATTAGTTCAAATTAAGAGATTATGTAGTCAAAGATGCAAGTTGTAATCTGATTATCAGAGATCTGTAAGAAAGTGGGATTGAAGATTATTTTTTTATAAATCCAAAACTAATGCTTCAGCACCTACTAGTCTTTCAACATTAACAGTGAATTTTCCCTGTTGTGAAAAAAAACTAATTTGAAGTTTTCACTTGGTGCTGCTAAGGTAGTTGCACTTAAATTCCAGTCACAAGAGTCATGCATTTTGCATTTCTCATTACAAGGTAAAGACCATCATTGATGGATCTCCAGGGAAAAAAATCTAGACATTATGGTGGCATAAAATATTTAACTACCTTTTGAGTTCAGTAATTCATTCTGACTTGCTGCTCTCCAGCAATGCAGCACTGTGTGAATCTGCTTCACCTCTGCATGGTGTGCTTATAAGGTTTGAAGTTATCCCTGCAGTTCAGATAAAATCAGACATCCATTTCACTAGGCAGAAAAAACGCCAACAACCCACCCAAACAAAAACCCCGCAAACACACCAAAAAATCTAGGTATCCTGTTAGTCTAGACTGTGTGCACTTGATCAGTTTCTTGGTTCAGAATTAAACCTCACATCCTGGGAAGGCAGAATCAGTTGCATTACTGTAACAGTGGGCAGCTACATCAGATTTAAGCTTTCCTGCTGTTACCAGCTTTGGTACATCTCCAGAGGTAAAGGCTGCAGCATTAGGCCTTGAACCTCATGTCACTTCTCCTTGTTTCTTAAAGCTTGCCTGTCACAAAATCCTTTTCTTTAGAAGATCCTGCAGGTCCCTTCTGTACTGCTCAGAGTTGTACCTGCTGACTTGAAGCCTTTCTGTATGAGGTCTGTCTCAACTGCACCTCTAGTTCCAAAGCAGCTGGTTACTGGTGCTGATCCAGTCAAACCTCAAGCTTAAAGCTTCCTAGGCCTCTGAACCTGCTCTGTGCTGTTACTACAGTGTGTGTTATCAGTACTGTTCCTTCTTTGTGTTTGATCTTGGAGAATCAGTCTATGTGACAAGTTATGGGTAATAGTAACTACACTACTAACAGTAGTAACACTATCTGCATAGGTGGAGGAAAAAGATATTCATATTATTTCTCTGAGTGGAAGCACTGTCTTATTTTGTCACACTGCAAGCGTTCTTGAAGTATTGAATTTTTTAAAGAAACAGCAGAAATCTTTACAAGCAAGATTAAAGAACAGGTATCTAAATAACAGTATCCAAAGCCAGATTTCTTGTTTTGAAGTGAACTCAGTTTGTTCAGATGCTATCCGGTAGTTATTGTGCTGAGGATACTTTGTCTCTGAATGAACTGGTTATGAGTTTGCTACATCGAGGACCCAAAACATCTCAATTTAGCCTTTTACCATGAATTCAGAGCTATAACATGCCCTGGTGAGTTTCTTCTCTTGATGCGTACCGTGTTCTGCTCTCGCAGTCGCCGGAGCTGCGTTTTCCCAGGAGTGCCGCAGCCCAGCCTAGGCCACTGACGGCCCGCCTTCAAACCGCTCCCTCCCGACACCCCCCGCGCGGGCCCTCCCCGCCCCCTCATTTGCTCTGCCCCATGCACTGCCTCGTTCCTATTGGCGGGCTACCCCTATGCCCCGCCCCCGGCCCCGATTGGCGCTGCCCGCGCGGGGCTGGGGGGGGGCTCGGTGTTACCTTTGGCGGGCGGCTGATCCGGTTGCGTTTTCTGTCCCCCATGGCGCTGCTGCTGGATCTGCTCCGCCGGCTGCTGGAGCTCCTGGGCTGGCCGCCCCACCAGGTGAGACCCCGCGGTGGCGCGGGGGGCAATCTGCTGCCAGGCGGCGCCCGGAGACCCGCTGATGCGGGGCGTCCCGCCCGCAGCCGCCGCGGTTCCGCGCGGGGAGGGAGAGGTCGGCACCGCTGGCGGTGCGGCGGGTTCCGCGCCCTCCGTGCCCACAGCTGGGCTCGTTGGTACACTCTGCCCGCACGTGGGAACGCGTGGGTCACTGCTCCGGCACGGCCGGTCAAGGCGCGCTTTTTGCCCTGAACAGAGAGGAACAGAGTCAGGAGCGTCAGCTGTTCCTGCTATGCTGCTTTAAATGAAAGGCTACCTACCCATTCCCAAGTTAATTCTGTGTTTTCAGAGACCTGGGAAAGGTACGGTGTGGAAATCGGAGACAGTTCACTGGTGCAGTGTCGGGGCTGATGCTGGAGGGGGGGCGTGGGCAGCTCCTTCGTGGGTGTGTCAGGAGCGAGGTGCTGCTGCAGCGTGTGCTTCTGAGGCGGACCTGGGATATGGGTGTGAAACTGCCAGAGTGGCTCTAGGGGCTCTAGTTCGACTGATTTGTCCTCTTTTCTGTTTCTGTCGTTGGGACTTCTTGGTGTTTTTTAACAGGCCGTATTTTTTGAAACTCGCATGTTTGGCAGCAGTATCACTCGTGCAATCAGAACATGCCTTCCTTCAGCAGTCTCATCAGGAAGGCATTTCCAGCAGTTATACACCATAATAAGGAAGTATCAAATCAAGGTACATTACATTTATTTCACTTCTTTACTAACTTTTTTCCCCCAAAGACTTACACAGATGCATATGATTACTTAAATGTGCAGTTTTTCTTTTGTCAGTATCTCAGGATATTTGCCTTTGTACCTGTTTAAAGTATTCTGTGAACAGGCTGTATTTTGGAAGCGTCTTAGACATTGTTTGTTAAAACCAGTGTAGGCCTCTTTGGACTTTCAGCTAGAGAAGAGCATTGGAAAGTTAAGTTAACCTAACCTAACTGTGTTATATTTAATTACGTATAATATTAAAGGATTTAATAATTTGGATTGCAAGAACTGCGGAATTTGATTTTGCTTCTCATTTTCAAAGGTTTTCTGATTTTTAGGTCACATCTGTTTGCCAAAAAAAACAATATGGGTCTACTCGAAGTGTTGTCCGGAGACTTGGGACAATTCTTTCCTTGGAGCCCTACCCAAGACCTTATTTTCAAGTAAGCAATTTGTCATATGTATGCTTCACCTGTTCGCATTTTCTTGTTTCTTAATTTGATGATAGCTTTTCTGTTTTTTTTAGCTCGTGTAATTTGTGTGTTGCATCCCTTATGTTCCCTCTTTTGAACTTCTTTACATCACTGTTTAAAAACTCTTTTTGCTGAGGCAGAACTTTCAGTATGTGCTGAATTCGGTTTCTCTTCATACCTTTTTTTGTCATTTTTGTTTGGTTTAGCTTGTTCAAGACCCAAGTCCATTGGGTTATGATGAACAAAGTGCAGCTCCAACTCCTGTGGCTCCATCACTTGCTGATGTCCTGTGGGTGGCAAATGATGAAGGACAGGCTTTTACTAGACTTAGGTAAGTAAAAGGATAAAAAGGGGTATTAGGAGTAAAAGGAGTTATGCCTTCTGTTCTTTATGGGGTGTGAATTCATGTTTGTTTCTTTTTTTTTTTTCCTGGCATTTTCCAGAAATATCTGAGGTGGTTTTGGTACAGGCAGTTCCTGCTTACCTGGAAATTCTTACTGTGTAAAGCATTCTTATCCAAAAGATTTCTGAAATTTAGTTTCCTATTTTCTTTTCATAGTAGCATGTCAGATGTGTTGCTGGTATTTTAATTGGTTTTCACTCACAAAGTATTTTGTGAGTTGAAGGGAAATTTGGTTATTGCAGTATACCCTAAGATTATTCCTATCTTTATCCTTTTAGTTTGCAACCATTTTAATAAATTTTAGAAAGGAAAAAACAAGAAAAAATATTTAAATGTCTTCTTTTGACTTTGATTTCTGCACTATTCTGTGTAACCCTTGGTGGTTGCTTTGCTGGAAGTACAAACATAATTTTTTTATCTTAACAATTTGAAATAGATCTGAGTATAGTTTATATAATTCTTTCTAGCCTTTATAGAATGTTGAAGGAAAATATTTTTACAAATTATGAAGTATTTCAGGTACTCTGAAAAGAGAAATTGTCCAGGAATTTGCAGACACAAATAGTGTACGAGTTTTGTCTTTTTTTTCCCCACTAGAGAAGAAATAGAAAGTTGTCTTAGTTTTCCTCTAAAGGATCTGTTCAAAATCAGAGGATAATTTAGAGAGCCAGAACCAATATTAAAATGTGGACACTTGTGTTGTCTTTTACTCTATCTGTATAGGATGATGTAATTCTACTTCATATTGGCATTTGTTTGTTTGTGATCTTTGTGCTGCTTGCTGGTAATGAAAATACAAGAAACTGATGGATTCAAAGGACACACTTTTTATTGGAGAAGTTTTGATACAGTCTGTTTCATGCAACACTGGTAAAATACTGCAAGAGTAAGAATATTGTTCAAAGGCATATTGTTAAAAGGCGTGTTTTGTCTTACTTATGCTTGTGCTGTTCTTTAGCTGATCAGATTCGTGGATCTATGACAGTTTATTCTTTTGTTGTTTCCATTCTTTCCTCCCCTTCTGGCTCTGTGGGATGTTTTCCAAGAACAACTATTCTAATTGATATCTTTTCCCTCTCAAGCAGTGTGAATAACAAGGGTTTTTGGCAAATCAGAAAGCAATGCTGCAGGTCTGATTTGAAGTAAAAGAGAAAAGGTCTGGTTTGTTTTCAATCAAAACTTAGTACATCTTGAATAAATAACGTAAATTTAATTTCTTTGTTTTATAATGAAATTCTGGCACTTTGATTTTATACTTATTTTATGTTTTAAGGTTCTTTCTGCAGGCACAGACTCAAAACAATTTTTAAAATTAAAACCTGAGACTTACAGCACAAATTTCTAATGCTGTCTTTGTTCATAGTAGCTTATACAAGATGAGGTTCTTATTCTGTAAGTGTATATTAAGCCTTGTTATTCTCCAGTATATTTTCTGAAAGATTGTAATTTCTTTGCTTATTGCAGTGTTCTTCTTAGAGTTTGATAAATGACTAAAATTTCTGAAGCCTAATTAAGAGATCATTAGCCTTTAACTCTCCTGCCTTTCATATTCACGTAGGGAGAAGGGAGAGACACCACATGGTGTCATTCTAATAGTTATTGAATAATGACAACTCAATCCTACTGTATGGCTTTATGATGTTTAATTATCCCTGAGTAAATTATCTGACTAATTTTTATGATGACTTTGCAAGGATCTACATCGTACTTGAGCAAAGGGAGACTTAAAACATTTTAAAGCTTATGAGTAGTTAAAAGTGTAGTTTTCCTAGATGGTTTGAAAATTTAGGTCTTGCCGAATGACAATAACTTTCTTGAATAGACAGTAGTTTTGAGATTTCCATTGTTGGCTGAGCCTTTTGAAACAGTGTCTTTCATTGCTTTCTAGGACTGAATTATGGAGAAAAGAGAAAAGTACAGCTCATCATGACCTATATCCATCTATAGATTCAATACAGAGCGTTCCAAAAAACAGCACACGAGAAGACAATATTGATCAAACAGCACTCCAGAAGATTTCTGCGCTTGAAGATGAGCTAACCTTTCTTCGTGCTCAGATTGCCGCAATTGTTTCAGCGCAGACACTGGGAAGCATTCCATCACGTGAGCCCTTCTGGTTTGAAGCAAACCAGTTTTCCTTTTCATGCTTTAGAGCTTGCCATGTCTGATAGAGAACTTTTCTCGCTGAAGATACACCAGTAAATTTACCAAATATAGTATTTTGTTTCTCTTTTTGCTGTTGGTGGCCCTCTCTCACTTCTATTTTGTGGCCTGTTTGCCAAGTTCAAAAGTTGATCCTAAGTAATCTTTGTACTCATTTCCATATCTGTGAAGGAGCTTAATAACATCACTATATATAGGCTACCAATTATTGTTTGAAAAAATTACAGACTATTTTGTCCATTTGTGTTTTGTGCTGTTTCTAACAAGTTATCAAAATAATGGATAGAAAAAGTATTTTAAGTCAGTCAGGTTTGGACTTTAACAAAAACAAACACTTCAGATAGATATGTCTAAGATAGTTGGTCTCCAGCATGAACTTCTATCTTGTGACATCTCTTATTCCCCTAAAAATTTTGAGGTCTTGATTGTCTTACTTGCAGACTAACCCCGCTGTGGTTGCTGAAATACGTAAACCGGTGCAAGGTACTTACTTTTCTGTGGCATCATGAGGACTTCTGTGATTCAGTTAGTTGTTCTGTTGACTCTTCCTCTGTCTCTTCTCCATTGCGCTCAGTACTGTAGTCTATTTTACATGTTTCGTGACTATCTTTGCTTTTGCCTCATGTGGGTTATTATGACCTTCAGACCATCCAGAACAAACTGTTTGTAGTTGCTGTTGGAGGGCTGCTTTGCTGATTTGTCTAGTGCTTAGATTGAAAACACAAATAGAGAAAATCTGAGCAGCATAGGACACCTCAGATTCATTGTTTTGTGTGTTTTGAATCTGTGGGTTTCAAGTAATGTTCTTGGTTTTAAGTCTAGTTCTTCTGTGTTATAATGTGTGAGGTGTATAAGAAAGTGCTTTAAGAGGGCAGTCTTATCTTGACTTAAAACTGAGTCATCCTATATGTTAATATATGTTATTCTTTTTCTTCTCTTAACTCTATCCAGAAGCCATTAAAACACTCAGCACTCCAGA